TGGATGTCAGCTATGGTCTCTTCAGGGTATATTCCCAGTAGTGGAATTGCTGGGTCAAATGGTATCTCTATTTGCAACTTTTTGAGAAAGCGCCATACTGGAGAAACTGGACTCTTATGAAGAATGTGACATCAACAAAAATATATTATGCAGATGACACTACCTTGCTTAATGAAAGTGAGGAAGACAGAGTTTTTGCTGCAGAAGATCAAAGACTTCAGTTGGCCTTCATTATGGGTTACTTATCAATCAAGAAACAAAAATCACCACCATCAGGGCCATAGACAACATCATGATAGATGGAGCAAAGATTGAAATTGTCAACAATTTCCTTTACTCTGATGAACAAGCAACATCCTTGGTACCAGCAGTCAAGAAATCAAAAGATGAAACAACTATGAAATATCATTTCATCCCAGCAACTATAGCAAACTTCAAAAGGGCAGCAAACAACAAATGCTGGTGAGGTTGTGGGCAGATTAGAACTCTCATTCATGCTGGTGGGAATGTAAAATGGTACAATCATTATGTAAAGCAGTCTGTGGCACTTTCTCAAAAAGTTGGAAATAGAAATACCATTTGACCCAGAAATTCCACTCCTGGGAATATGACCTAAAGAAACCAGAGCCACATCTCAAACAGATGTATATACACTCATTATTTATTGCTGCATTATTCAGAATAGCAAAGAGATGGAAGCAAATCAAGTGCCCATCAACAAACGAATGGAATAGTACACAGCACTGAAAAACAATAGTAAAACATACAACATGGGGAAGGCCTGAGGACTAAGTAAAACATCTTAGCCACAAAAGGACAAATACTGCGTAACACCTTTATAGGAAAGACATGGGGGCGGGGAAGGAATAGGAAAAGCACGGATAGGTAACGAACACTAATAGAACAGATGGGAAGAACTGTCTGAAAGGAACGTATGATTAGGGATTGTATGTATGAGAACAGTCTGGAACAAGTGGCACATTGTGTGGTGGACTGGAGGAGGATGTGGAACATTGAATAAAAAATGAAAAACTATCAAAAGATGTATTGCCCCTGCAAGTCTGCAGTCAGAAACCTCTCTAATGAAGAGCAGTGATATCAATTGAATGACATAAGGTACACCTTATCTAGGCCCTGAGAGCTGCACAGTAAAATAGGATGAAAGCAGCAGCAATGTTAATGAGTGGTGTGGTACTGGGTATCGTATGAATGCAAAAACAGAGAAAAGTGCCGTCAAATGGCTCCTTAGAGGTGAAGATGGCCAACCTTTGTCTCTCATACTTTACGTTCTTAAAAACCATTTTCCATTCCTTAGAAATCATGCTTGGAAAGGTGGATGGAAGGTCAGTGATAGAAAGGACAGCCTTCAATGAGGTGGACTAACACAGTGAGTAGAGCAATGGGCTTAATTATATCAGATGATGATGGCAGCACAGAATAGGACAGGGTTCAGATCTGTTGTCCATGTCAACCTGAAACATCCGTGACCACCTCTAACAACAAATTCATTACTAGTCATTCCTCATGTCCTATGCATTTGAAAGACAATGAATGAGGATGACGGATGATTACATGTTGAAGAACGTTACACACTTAACCTGGACTGCCAAAAGAACTAACAAGTCTATTACGGGGGAAAATGCAACCAAGTCGCTGGCCTTTGATTTTCAGTGACATTCCAGAACACAGTAGACCAAGAAGTCATCTGCGAAGAACTTTGGTTGCAAAAGGCAAAGCCTGCAGGAGTGTCTCTGGCCTCTGTCACAGAGCTTGTTTTTGGAATGTTAGGGGAGTGGTCTTTAGACTCTATGGCAAGTCTTTCACTGGCTGTGTGATCTTGAGCAAGTCCTTTCACTGGAGCCTGTTTCTTCTGTAATTAGCGAAGCTCTTGAAGATGAAATCAGCTGTGCAGGAGAGCAGCTGGAATACTGCTAGCCCTCCACTAGGTGGAGTGACAAAATGGCTGTTAAAAAGCACCCAGTTGGAGATTTGTTTCCATTTGTCTTTTGTTGTGGGAATATTAGAAACACACTGGAAAACTGGATCCACGTTATTTCAAACCTGGATCAATCCCTATTTCCCCGGCTGTTTCAGGAAAGGGCAACTTTCTCACTTGATTTCTGCTCCCACTTCTAACGCTGCAGTTAATACTAGCCTTTGCTGAAGGAGAGTCGTGAAAACCAAGTAAGTGCTTGCCAGTGACATAGCCTCAGGACTTCCTTTTTCAACCCAACTTTGAAAAGCACATTTGCAACCTTCTATGAATTTGATCTCAGCCAAACAGACCTCATTGCCACCCAGCCCCCGAATTGATTCTTCACTCTTCTGGGCCAAATAGTTTTATACATTACTAGTCCAAAATCCGACTAGCCTTTCCAGAAACTGTCTCACTTCCAACTAGTCTAAGCTTCATGCTGATACTGGCTCTTCTTTGCTTATCACTTTAACTTTCCCTTTTATTTTAGTCCTATTTCACTGCTGACCCTTCAGTGAGTTTCTGAGGCTGTAAACTGCATGGGAGGACTGTTAACAGCTTTGATCACAAAAGGTGCAGCCAAGAGTCTCCAACCCTAGTAACCCATTTTAGGAAAGGCATTTTCTTATTTTTAAACCTGTTTGTAGACCGTTCCTATTCAGCTGGCAGGATCACCATTTGTTCAACATTTAGCATGCAAGTGAATTCACCGTCTCATTGCCTTCAGTCTTCCTTTCAGGTTTCATTTCATTTTCTTTTGAATCATATGGGATTCCCCAATTAAATGTTTCTCAGCTGGAGCAGTCACCCCGGATGTTTTTAAAACAAGTCCTGGTTCTACCTGATCTGATTATCGTAGTCTTCATTTTCACATGAGGGTAAGTGGAGACCTTGACATCACCCTTATGGGTCACTGCACAAAGTACCTTCAAACGCAAATACAAATTCAATCCCATTTAACTTGTATTGGAAACACTTTTTACCCCCTTCACTCTGGACAAAGTTACGAAACCCTATCATTAAGTTACTTTTAATAGTTAAGGAGGCTGTAAAGGAATTCACCATTTCTTCTGACTCTTAAGCATCAGACATTTAAACTGCTACAACCCGAGTCAAGATGTGCCAGCAAAAAGCACAAGAAGGCAGGTGTCTGTCTCACACAGTTTATTTAACAATAGGTAATAAGAAATCAAATTTAACAGTCTATACAGTGATCCAAAGTTCATATTTATAAGTAATCAACTTTAATTGCATGATTTACAACAGTTGAGGGTTTTTGCTTTCTATTTTCAAGTTTTACAGAAAGTGTGTGTGTGTGTGTGGGGGGGCAGGGTAAGGAGGAAGAAAGCAAGCGAAGAAGAAACCCCAGGGACATTTTGTGTGTTAAAATCATCCCACTGGAATCGTTTCTTACCCTCTTTTCAATTTGTTCCTTTGTTAGATGTAAAAATAACGAAAAAAATTCTTTCAAGAAACAGAAACCACAATATATAATACATCAATTTGGCAGCTGCCCCTGTATATTTTGAAAAAGTCATTTTTCTCTCTACATGTACAAATTATTTTAATACTTGAAGTTTTACGCTCAGACTTACGAAATAGAAAATTTTCTGGAGCACAAAAGTTGACTTAAGGGGAGGAAGGGGGAGGGTTTTTTTTTCTTCTCTTTTCTTACATTTTTAAAAGAATGAACGACTTTGCACCCAGAGAAAAAAAAACTGGTATTTTAATATATATTTATATATATATTTATATATATATATATATAGAATGTAATTTTTAAAGTAACATTAACCCCTTTTGTCCTCTGGTATTAGAAATGTTTTTTTAAATTTTTTTTAACTCTTTCATAAAGTGAGGAAAATAGGGAAAAATGTCAACCATCTGCACCAGTAAATAATAACTATTAATATTACATATTTTCATTAATTTAAAAAAAATAATAAAACCTATTGAGGTGCAAGGAGGGGCACGTGGGTGGGTGGCGTCACAGGCCGCAGCCTCCTCCCAGCGTGCATCTGAACCACACACACAGAGGAAGGGCTGGTGGCTACCAGCCATAACAAAAATAGATTCTTTTTATTCTCTCATCCCTCAGGTTCATCTTGCCGGTTTGTTTTAAACCACAAACGCCTACTGCACAGTTCTTAATGTGTTCCAAGGAAAATTCTTTTAAGCTAAGAAAGATTCAAAAAAATTGTTCTCAGTACAAAAAGTCTTGTTAAGAGAAAATAATTTTTTTGCTCCCAAAATACTACAAGGTGTCTCTAGTGTATGTCTAGTGTACTCTGTGAGAGGTTTGAATTCAAGTCTGAGCTGTCGGTGCTGAGTCCCAGGTCCGTGGCGCTTGCACCATGGAGGTTTGCCATGCCTGGATTGCTAGCGAGCTGAGCAAGCATCGAATTCTGGTCTGGGCTGGCAAAGTGCCCTTGCTCCAACGGGTTTGCCTGGGCAGCTACCAGTCCAGGGTGCGGGGAGCTGGTCTGTGGGGACACATGGTGTGGAGAAGGCTGAGGCTGCATCCTTGGGGAAGGGCTAGAGTGGGGAGGCTGGGACTGAGGCCGCGGAGAAGGGACAGGCTGGGGAGAACGCACTTGATTGGAGAGAGAAGATGGGATCTGCTGGCCTTGTAGGTGTGGGGACTGGGCATGGTTTGGGAGCATATGCTGTTGAGGGCTCATGGGGTTCGGCTGCGCAGGGGACCCCATCTGCTGCTGGAGGAGTCGCTGCTGGTAAGCCTGCAGGCTGGCTCCAGCATCAGCGCCCAATGCTGGGGGAAGCTGGCCCATCTGTCCCATATTCCCTTGTTGCATCTGTTGCATGTGATGTTGCATCCGCTGTTGCTGCTGCTGCTGCTGCGGGGGATAGCCAACTCCCTGGGGCTGTTGGAACTGGTTATGATTGGCCATTCCAGGGCCTATGCCCGGACCTGCTCCCTGTTGCTGCTGCTGCTGCTGCATCATCTGCTGTCGTCTCAAGATGTCTCGGAACTGTGAAGGCATGGTGTTGTGGTTCATGTTCATCTGCTGAGCCTGGGGGCTCATTCCTCCCATGGGTGGCTGAAGCTGCTGTGGGGGCTGCTGCGGGGGCAGGCCAGCCCTCTGCACGCCCGGCTGCATGGGGTTCATGTTCGGCATGGCTGGGCTGGAGTGGACTCCCTGCTGACCTGGCATGGTGGGTGGCTGCAGCCCTGGCTGGCCCTGCGGCATGCCCGGCTGCCCCGGAAGAGGCTGTGGATTTGAGTTGGTATACTTGGCAGCCCGCTGCTTGATGAAAGCAGCCAA